AAATACGACTTCAGCAATAGAGTGGTCAATGTCTGGAATACTCTACCTGACTCTGTAGTCTCTTCCCCAAACCCCAAAAACTTTAACCTTAGACTGTCTACTATTGACCTCACCCCTTTCCTAAGAGGTCTGTAGGGGGCGTGCATAAGCGCACCAACGTGCCTACCGTCCCTGTCCTATTGTTTCTCTTATTCTTCTTTTATTTTTCTTATATGTACCCATTTCATGTATTCACAACTATGTATACACTTATACCTATTATCTTGTAAACAATTGGCAAATCAAATAAATAAATAAATAAAATAAATAAATAATGTGTTTCCTCTCTTTCTCTCTGATCAACTTACTCATCTTGGCACACTAGTATTTTTCTTACATTTTTCTCTGGTGGCATACTATCATTTTTCCAATTCTGTGCATAAGTTATTCTTGCTGCTGTTAATAAATGTAGCATTAAATTTTCTTATATTTTCCCGTTATTATACCTAATGGAAAGGTCTCCGGTCTTAATTCAATTTGCTGTTTAATTATTTCTTCTATCCATTTTTTTGTCCTTATCCAATATTTTCTCACTACAGGGCATGTCCACCATGCATGGTAATATGTTCCTTGCTTTTGTTAGCATTTTCAACATTTGCACGATCTGTTTGGGAACATTTTTGCTAATCTAGCAGGTGGTAAGTGACGGTGCCTGAGCTCTCGATGTCAATATACAAAATAGCAGAAGATTGAGTTTTTTTTTTCTTTTGTGAAATATACTAAACTCTGAATAATTTCACATGCTGGGCTTGCATAGTATACTGTGGTGTTAGAAAAGACGAACATACTTAACATGTTGCATGGATGCAGCAAAATTTTCAGGACATACTAAATCATGTTATATGAAAAAAAAAAAACCAGTGTGTTGCTGTTGAGGACCATGCAAACTCCAAAAAATTTGGTTCATTCAATAAACTCTTGTTTAAACATATCACAGACAAGAATGGGAAGTTAAAATGTAGACAATGCACACCTGGTAGATTTTTGTATTCATGTTACCAGGTGGCACTGAACTTTTATCAAAATACTTGTAATATAGGAATAATTCATAAACAGTATTCTTTCTAGGGCAAATGTTCTAATATAAAGAGCATTGTTATCTTCCCTTTTTCACAAGCTAATACTATAGACAGATAATTACTGATTTCTATATGAGGGGTCCTTGGTGCTCTGAGCTTGCTTGTTTATTTGCAGAGGTTTCATTACTCTAACTAGGTAACATCAACATTTCCAGTTGTTTTTATATTTTTGAAGGGGAGCAGACATGTTCCTGAAGCTTGTGAAACTTATGTCTTTCCCTGACAATCTAGCATAATTTTGTCTACCGTACAGCACCACCCTGTAGGTTTATCCTTAGGGTGCATTTTCCTGCATATTTTCTTAAGAGGATTGTACTTTCATCCTCCAAGTTTAATTTTATCAACATGAAAGTTTCCCCATTTCTTTATGAATTTATAGCAAATTCAAAAGCATTATCTATTTCTTTTGTTCTAGCGCATCATTTATTTGCAAATTGTCTGTTGAACTTAATTGTGCTCTCATTTTAAACATTTTCTTTTAGGAAACTTTGAAGTTACATATACTATATACTATTATACACTTTTAAATCTCATTCTTATACAAATATAACTGAAAAATAACCAGTGCTCCCATCTTACCAAGGGAAAACCAACTGAACAAGTCCAAATGTAATCCAAATTGGATCTCTTCACTTTAATAGTTCATACATTTGCCCCATTTTGCAATGTTATACAAGGTTATGTAAAAAATACATTATGCAGAATGTTATACCAAAATGTTCTCTTTAATTTATATTGTGTTTTAATAAAATGTTTAATACCATATTTTCTTTTAAATTTCTTTTTTAATACAGAAAAGGCATTGGAGAGAAAGAAATTACAGGCACAGTGGGAATAATTTTCTAATTACACTGAATAAAAATAAAGCACCCTCAAGGAATGCAACATATAATTCAAGTCCTTGCATTCAAGCACACTTCCTCACTAACATTGGGGCGGCGGGAGTATAAAATTGCTAGCAGAAAAATCCAATTGAGGGTTTGGAGCAGGACAATAGCTAGGGAAAGGGTTTAAGCAATACCTTCCAAAACTATGAGGTAAAAAAGGTGGTAGGGGCTCAGGATGTGAGAATATCTTTTGGAGAAAATGGGAAAGCAGAGACAGCTCAATTCGGCAATTCTTCCAATCATAGTAACACTGTAGAGAAAATGGAACAAAGATAACCACAACAGCAGCCAAAATGGATTAAAGATAACCACAACAGCAGCAAAAAGGGGGATTGATACACTAACAATAGCACCTGCTAACAGCTCAGAAAACACCGAAAATATTTTCAAGCAAGGAGAGGTAAAACTATAGAAGTGCATCATGCTTATCTTCCCTCTTTCAGTTTAGAAATTGATAATTTCTGTTGGTTACAGTGATTTGGCTCTAACTGAAGCAACTCCTCTCCCTTAGGTTACTGTCATCTGACCTACTATTAACTATTGGATGGTTATCCTTAACACCAAATCAGCCTAACCAGCAAAGTTGGCAACATACTGCTGCTGAAAGAGATATTTTTGCAAACTTTACCATCTTATATCATTTGTTTGATGTACCCCAAATGACAGTTTATTTTAAAACTGTTTGGCTTTATATTTTATGTGCAAGGCTATAATTACCATCTGTTAATAAACCAACAAGGCTAGGTGTTTCAAGTTAACCTGTGCAATTACAACTAGTTTATCCATGATGTTATTTATTGTGGGATGGGTCATATGTATGTCAACTCCACCTTTGCCATTGTTTCTCCTCTGGCCAAACTCTCAGGTGGAAGGGGGGAGAATGAAAGCAATCCTGTAGCTGTGGGGAAGCCTTTAAAGAGGGAAGCATAGATAGGCAGATCTATAGTCAAGTAATAATCATAGGAAACTACTCCCAGACCCTTTTTGTAAAGATACACTGTGAAAAGGTGGGTTCATTCAGTATTTAAACCTAGGAAAATGTGGGAGGTGGTTGTGCATCATGGTAGAAAACTCCATGAAACACTGAGTTTGGTGAGTAATGGATGGGATTGGAGAGGGCAGAAGGTACAGAGAAAGAGCTCAAAGGACTGGCAAAATAGGTTCTAGCAGTAGCACCAGGAGAGGATTCATCGCTTGTAGCATTCAGCAACTGGCAGAAGATGCTTGGGTGGCGTAGCAGGAGAGGGGACGGAGTTGCCAGCAGCTGACGCAGGAGAGTCTGTTTTCGTCTTGAAGCGGTAAGTGATGGGCAGTAGAAGCTTGCTTTTCTTGAGGGCCTGGACTTTCTTGAGTGTCTCGTCATCTAGTGCCATGAAACATCGTCGGGAATATTCAAGCAGACGCTCCTTAGATGGGTCAAACTCACCCACTTCAGCCAATTTTTCAGGAGCAACAATAAGGAGCTCTGCTATGGGGGTGGTCAACGCCACAGTGTTACGGTCCACCCGATGATGTTCAAAGGCCCGACTCATGCTTTGCATCTTCTGAAAAGTGTACAGGATCTTTTTATACCGGCAGAGGACTCCATCCACATCCTTGACTTTATGGTGAGTTTGAGTTCAGGTGGACAATACCATGGAGGACAGAGACAAACAGCAGTGTAATTGAACAGCAAAATGCAGAAAGAGAAGACCAGCACGTCACAAACACCAGACATGAAAGCCGAGATAAAAGAAATTTTAAAAATTGCCATTAAGGCAAGAAAGCAACAAGTTAGGATGGAGAAGCAGAAAAGGACATGATGTGGAAGGGTTACAATAGGCCATATACCTCATCAGGACAGGCAAGGCAAAGGGCAGAAAATAAATCACAGATCAGGTTAAAATATATATATACATTTTAGTTGAAAACATCAATAGATGTGAAAAGACGACGGACAGAGAAGATACATTGCAAAAAGAAGGAAAGAAAAGTCAAACAGGAGGCATATATCACAATTGTCAAGATCAGAAATAGTAAGAAATAAGATGGTGAGTAGTTTAGGAATGGATCAAAAAAAGAGGGAAGGGCAAGATGAGGGGAGGGAGAGAAAGGAGAACAGGTTATATCAGTTTATAACGACTTGAGACTTTGATGTGAGAAGATTTGAATAAACTAAATCAAAATTCCATGTTTCTATAAATCTTAAGATATCTGTTACAAACATTTTAATGAAAGTTCCCACAATACTTGGCACTGCCCATACTGGTTGAGACTGAAGAATGTAAAATGTCTGAGATGCTCAGTTGTCTATGCTTGCAATACTGTAGGGATCTTTGTTTTTCACAGTCTAGGTTCTCCTTCCTCCTTCTTACTTTCTTTCCTCAAAATAAAAAATACCTATACTATAATATCATAAATCTCTGTTATAATGTGATAAAGGTTCAGCTGAATCAAATCAAAATTGCCTATTTCAGGATTTTGTTCCCATAGCAGCTAATGAGATGCTTCCAAAAAGCCAAAAATAGGAGAATGCTAATCCACACACCTATACATACATATTACCTAGCAACTGATAGTCAGGTGCTTAGCTGCATTTCTCCTGTATATGTTTTCTTTTCTAGTATCACTGCCACTGTAGTAGAAAAGCATCTCCCAATGTTAAGTATTATTCAAAAATAGTAAAAGCTAAGGGGATATTCAAGAATAATCCTATTTCATGTCAAGGTTACAAACATGTTCTTCTGAGGTTTCCAATCTTTATTTGCAATCATACATAGGGATGTATTTAATGTATTAATAAAAAAATGATTAAAACTCTGCCAATTGTGGGGAAAAGAAGAGGGTGGAGTATTAAGTGTGTTGAGTCATTTACAGAATAAAAGGGGAATAACAACAGTCTTGTCTACTAGATCTATGGCTAAATGAGAGCTCTAATCATGTTTGTTCTTAAATCTAGTAAGAAAAATATGCTTGAAGAAATTTAAAGCATTTAAACTTAAGAACTTCTTTATTGTAGCAAAGAGACAGCAGCAGAAACCTGTCTGAAATATTGAGGAATTAATTCCATTTAGTTTTTTGCTTTTAATTCAAACTGATTGCAAATACAGTACATTTAAATTTAATTTCAAATTTGTTTATTTTTCCTCTTCCCTCTTCCTATCCCTTTTGTGCTAGATTTTTTTAGATTGTAATGGTGATAATAATTTTATCTTCTACTGGCTTTATATAAATCCTGGATGCTCTTTTGACCATTTACTTCTTACTTATATAAATAAATAACAAGAGAATAATGAATGAAGACTGTTAAGGAATTAATTTTCTATTAGGAAAAAGACCCACTTTTTATGGAACTGAAAATGAAAGTAATTTTATTTAGTGACACTGGTTAAATGTCCACTTTAAAAAAATAGATTGGACAGGGGTAATGCTAAGGGCTAAGTCATGGAGAAAATAATCAATTTATTTTGATTGTTAGGATATACTAAAAAAAACATTAAAAACATTTTTATGAATCCAGCCCAAATGAAAGAGTTGTGTTCCCCTTCTAGTTCCAAGTAATTTTTTGAGATCAAATTGGAAGTGCTAAATAGCCTACAAATTATTATTTTATTATACGGGTAATCCTCAAATTACAACCACAACTGGGACCAGAGTTTCTGTTGCTAAGAAAGGTTATTCTTAATGTATGTCACACCTGATTTTATGACCTTTTTCACCATGGTTGCTAAGCGGACCACTGTGGTTGTTAAGTGAATCGCACAGTCATTAAGCAAATCCAGTTTCTCCCATTGACTTTGCTTGTCAGAAGCTGGCTGGCAAGATTGCAAATGGCGATAACATAACCCCAGGTCATTGCAACTGTTGTAAATATACCAGTTGCCAAGTGCCTGAATTTTGATCATGTGACAATTGGGATGCTACATGCTATGACGGTTATAAGTATGAGACCGATCGTATGTCATCACTTCAAATGGTCCCTAAATGAATGGTTGCAAGTTGAGGACTATCTGTACAGTAGAATAACATTAATGATAATACTATAACTCAGTGTTGCTCAGTCTTTGTGTGCTGGCTGGGGGAATTCTGTGAATTCACACACATGCATCTTAAAATTGATAAGGTTGAGAGACAATACTATAACTTTTGATGCAGGGCTCTCCAAACCTTTGAAGCCTCAGTACTTACCTCTCTGCCTCTCCCGGATTTTAGGCTTGGCAAAGCCTCGGCGGTTCAACCCTGCTATGAGCTTCTTGTGTTCCACAGAACCTCCTTCTTCAGGACTAGTGGTCATCCAGGAGGCCATGCTGTCATCATCTGTCACATCTCCATTTCGGCTCTCCAATATTTCGGCTCTCCGGGGCATTTTTTTTTTGCAGCAGTGATCATCTAGGTTGGAGGAGAGAAAGGCTAAGTGAATCACACCTGGCCAGGGAGATGGGAAGCTCAAGGGCACTCTCCTGGGTTACCCAGCTCAATTTCCTCCAAATCACAAAAGTGTGATACCATATATCACATTTTTACTTTAATAAGGATAATAATCAGCCTATGGATCTTTGTGCGCAGTTAAATTCAACGCCTATCAATCCCAACCAGAATAGCTCCTGATTGGACTACAATGCATATTATCCCCACTTTCTAGAGCAGTTTTTTTCAATTTGAAGATGTATGGACTTCAATATCTAGATATCCACAGCCAGTCTCAAAATTCTGAATGTGCCCTCAAGTCAAAAGAGTCTACTTCAATGGTTGATCCTTATCTTAAATTGTTCCTCCGTTTCTCTTAAGAGCCGAAATGCCTTGGCGCTCATTCTCCACTCATCTCACCCCCATATATTTCTAGATTATTATTATTTCCAATAAAGTGTTTTGAGCAAAACCACTCCATTAGCCTCCAGAATGTTTACCAGCATCCAGGCGGGCTGAAGAGATGAATTTGTCTAGCTGGCAGCGCAAGAAATCTCGTTCTTCTTCCAGATCTTCAATTCTCTTCTGCAGCCAAGAGTTCCTTTCCAATGCCATATGTAACTGGGTCTTCATACTGGTCACCAGAGTCAATGAAGGAGCCGGCCTCTCTGAAATATCCAAGACACAACAAGAAGCAGTTCCTAGTTCAGCGTATTCTGGGGATATCCAATCATTCTCTTAAAATGCACTGTGAATTAGGCCACCAGGTTTAGCCATGATGTGGCTGATTTGTTTGGGTACAATATGGGGGTTGCTTAAAGTTTGTGAACCCTACTGAATGTTCAATATTTCCTCATAAATGGGATCAAAAAATGTGGTCTGTCCTAAAACTAGAGAGACCTCAAACAAATGAGTCACAATATGCTACTTGTTCATTTATTATTGAGTATAATGATTCAGAGCTGCTTTTCCAAGATATAATGAAATACAGAATTAACATAGACACTCTGCAGATTCCATGACCCTTTCTGGTGGAAAAAAAAAACCCGCTGTTGTAAAATATCAGATAAGAGCAGTGTTTGCCTAATATACTTAATCACAAAATAGCCAAACATGCTGCAAATTTCTACCTAGAAAACCCGTGCTTTGCTAGGAAACTACAGTCTCTCACGCTCGCAAGGTTTATGTAGAACGACCTACCCGCCCCCATTCCCCAGGTTTATAGAAATCTATTAGAGCTATGCATTATTAGTCCTTGGTTAACAACAACTTAACAACTAGCCTTTGGTTAACAACCATTGCTAAGCAATGCGGTCATTAAGCAAGGCATTATATGACCGTGACAGATTTACAACCTCATTTTTGCTAAGGCCATTAAGCAAGTCATCACAGATCGTTAAGCAAGATGTGATCACAATTTGGGATTCTCCACGGACTCTGCTTGTTGGAAGCCGACTATGAAATGAGCAAATAGCAATCACATGACCGCAGGATGCCACCATGGTTATAAAAGGCCAGCAATTGTGAAGTGTATGAATCTCAACCACATGACTATGAGGACACTACAACAGTCAGAAGTGCGAGGACTAGTCCCAAAGTTATTTTTTCAGCATCGTCATAACTTTGGATGGTCACTAAACAAGGCATTGTTACTATCTGTGCTTGGGTTCAGTCTTGGGAAAGAACACCACTTCTTACTGCATTCTAAACACGGTAAGTGCTACACTTGCCCGCTCAGCACTTTCTGGAGACAGAATCCTCTGTGCTGCACAGCCTTGGTCCCAGGATACTTCAATACCCTTTTCTACTGCAGATGGCGACGGTATTATTTTTCTTAGCAATTTTCCAGACTTGCTACAATCGGGGAAGAAACAGAAGAGCACTTTCCGGTTCCCAGTGGCTGAAATGGATTGCCTTGAGGTCCTCTGCCTACATGGCCCAGGACACAGTTAAAGGATGTTTACTTGCTTATAAGGGGAAGGTGACATTGTTTCTTACCATCAAAATTTTCCAGGTTGCTCAGACCATAGTGTAACTGTTGTTGAATCTGTGTCTGGGACTCCATTTGGCATGGCTTGTCCGAAAGTAAGGCTGGTTCACAAGTTTCATTATTCTCTTTCACTGTAAACATAAATATTAGGGGAGGGGAAGAAATATAAGAAACTTGGAATACACAAGGTTCAACATGCTAAGCCATGGTTTAGTTCAACTACAGATAACAGATAATCAGAGTTGGAAGGGACCTTGTAGGTCATCTAGTCCAACTCCCCCAAGCTTGGAGATCCTAATTCCATTTCTGACAAATGGCAGTCCAATCTCTTCTTGAAAGTCTCAAGTCTGAAGACTTTCACTACTAGCTAAATAAAAGAGACAGTTCCACTGGCAAGAAAATAAATACAACTGTGTAATAATAATTCATGTTTATGGGACATGTTGAGTATGAAAGTGGTGGTACTTTATCACTTCTATGTGTTTAGCTCCACAGCGTGATGTTAATCTGAGATTCTACCATAAAAGGAAAGAATTGTCATTATTCAGATGCTATTTCTAAAATCGTTGAATTTAGAAATACTCCTGATCAGAAATCTTTTGATATTCCTTGCCAGATATATGAACTGGGTTCCCCTATGGATGCCCATATCTTTAAAAAAAAAAAGTTTGGGCTGGATTCCTTCATTATGCTAAGTCATAAAACCTCTTTTCCAAGCTATAGGGACCGATTCCTACATGTACTTGTTTGTAGGTTAGGGAATGAGAACCCAGCCATCTGTAGTTTACCATAATGATTATTAAGCAAATCATGGCTCATCATAAGAAGGAATGCAATCAATATTCTTATTAGGAGCTCCATAGGTATCTAATGAGCATACACAGAAGATAGAAATGGGCTTATCTGGATTTGATTTAGAGCAGCATATGAACCCACACGGTGGGTTGGATTCAAATTTTCATCTTGATTTCAGTAAAATGTAAACCTAGCTAACACGTGTCTGCCTCTGTGATTATTCCAGGAATACAAGGACTTTGCCTCAATCCTGGAACAATCCACCTCGTGCCCAGCCAATATACACACCTTGCTTTGCTCCAACTCCACAGCAACCCCTACCTACACCTGCTCGCTGGTGATGATTACTTTCATTCATCGTCCTCTCTCCCCGATGTGTATTTCCAACCTAGAGGACAGGATGGAAGCTATAACTAGGACTATGGATCACACATCCCTCCTTTCTCCATTCCTAGAAACCTCTGGTCTAGATTTTCCTTCCAACTCTTTCAACTCTAAGTCAAGGAGTCTGAAACAAAATTCCACAACCATCAAAGAGCGTCTTTCAGGAAATTCTAAATGGCTGCCTTTCACAACTGCTGGTGTGACATTTTTAAAGATCAGAATGGCATACATGGGAGAGGGAAATGCAGAGACATAGAAATAGCAGCAGTAGTAGAACTTTCATAGAAATAGCACAGAAATAGCAACGGTAAAACTGAAACAAAGAAGCCGATGCTTCCTTCTGAACAGAGAAACTGTTGTCATTCCCTAACAGGATGCACATTCCCCAGTTCCTGCAACTAATGGGAGTTATTAAAATCCAGACTGGAAAATTTGTGGCTTTCCATTTGTTGTTAGGTTATAGTTCCCATCAACCCCAACCAATTTACATGCTGCTGGGGCCACTAAATAGAGAAAAACATCATTTGCAAAGATTGAGTTTTCTGGATGACTTTGGGCCAAGACCAGGAGACAGTTAGTTCTGCCTTAGCCATGAAAGCCAACTGAATGACTTTGGGCCAACCACTCTCTCAGCCAAAACCACCTCACAGGGTTGTGTGTATGTGTATGTATTGTGTTCGTCTGTGAGTCACAGACGAATCTGTCTCACAGACGAACACAACTCACATACGAACACAGTACAGAAGCCTGATGATGGCAGATGAGATTCTGCCAAAACGTTGCTATAACTTTAAAAGCACAACTACAATGACGTGGGAAAATACCCGAACAAAGCTGAATTATATATATATATATATATATATA